GTTCGCTATAAGTAAGTCCTTAAATCTCGTTTAGGTTTGGTTTACTCCGATCTCGGCAATTTCTCATGAAGGATCTTTACTCTTTTGATCTTACAAAGGAAGGTGCCAAACAAACTTACGAAAAAGTCTGTCGGGTATATGATCGAATACTTCGCGATCGATTAAACCTCGAAGTGTATAAGGTAAGTACTTTATTTCCTATACTCTGAAATGTGGTATGAAGTTGGAATCCTGAAAGAGAGGCCTTCTCAGTCAGTTTCTGTGTAGATGATGATTCAGCGCATCTCTTACACATCTGCATCACATCTCACAACTTCTTTACCTCTATATATGTAAAAATGCAGATTTAGGTTACAGCTCAGCCGGGTATCTATGGAGGTTCAGTATCTCATGAATACCATCTACCAAATCCATTAGAAGAAGATGGAATTCACTTCTGTTCAAAGTTAGTTTTTTAGAATCATAGCAATAAACTCGTGCCTACATTCGAGTAATTTTTGGAAATAGTGCATCAGTCGAGTACGCGTAAATTGTGAAAGCAAAATTTGTTAGGTGGAAGAGTTTTCGTTTCCCTGCCATCGAATCATCAGATCATTTTCTTGATGTGATTCATATTCTGCAATCGCAGTGTTTTATAGCACATAAGTTTTCTTAACTTTTTATTGGGACCGGTTGGAAGTTCTGCGCTTGACACGTTGCGTGAGCGCGCAACCTGTGGGCAAACTTTGGCCTTCAATCAGAACTGAAAAGGGTTTCTCCCAAACCTGACCAGTGGTCAAGCCCTGTGATCCATCCGCGGCCGCGCAGGGTGCCTAGGATATGGTTCTTCTTTGAAATAGACTGTCATACTTACCATAAAGCTTGGCCGGAACTCGCTCACCCACTTCTCTGGCGCACCCGCTATCAAATTCTGAAAGTTTCAAAGTGAAAATTGCTGTATTTAAAGCATAACCTAATGAAGAACCAGGTCATAGTTCACAGAAAAACAACAAATTTTTAAAGTTGAAACGCAAAATCGGTTTCGACTGCAGTGTTGCAATTCAAGCGCTCCGTACCTTCGATCGGTCGATATTTGTGAATATGGAGGTACCCTCATAATTTCAGATGTAAAACAGGCAGTAAAAGGGAAGATGGGCCTCACAAATGCGAACACGACTCTTCTGCAGTCAAGACATTCTCAACAGTTGAAATAGCTCACACATTTCAGTTAGGTGAGTAATCAGTCCTGAGGATTGCTGAT